TCCAATTAACTTTGAATACGGAACAGCACAGCAGGAATGAAATCTATGGATTTCTGGGCAAAGGCTGGAACTTCTTTTACATAACTTTGTGTCTTTTGATACTGCTGATAGCAATTAGAAAGTACCAACCAACATAAGAAACCTTGCCAGGATGAAAGGAAAAATTGACATCAATTTCTCCTCTCAAGAGAGAATTTTCTAGTTCTTCTGTATTCTGTTCTGCAGAATTATTATTATTACTTGCAATGCCATACAGCAGACACTAATGATTAGGACAGCATTCAGAAAATGACATTATCTATTCGGACACTTCACCCATAAAGCTAGGTTCCTAGTTCTAAGGATGGGAGACACAGGACTCATATTAAGTATTCAAATGTGAATATCCACATGGAAGTCGGACATTTAAACTGACATTCACAACAATGAGAAAGTAGGACCAGCATGTGCAGCTGGGAGGGGGGCATCAGTCAGGAAAAGGACATACCCGAAACTCTCTTTGTCTGCATGGTGCCTCTGCAAAGCTGGGACTGAGAGCCCTAACTGGCTTACTCCACTTAAGTACCTCCCCCCACTTGGAATTCACCTTTCTTTCTTATACCTTGCTCTGAACTCCCTCCAGTTTTCAACCTCAGGCAGCCAAGGAAGACACAAAGGAAGATGGACAGTTAGTTCCTGCCTTCCATGAATAAAACACAGCTAAATACAAGGCAGGATGTATATATTTATTAACAGAGGTGCTGTCTGCTTCAGAGTCGACCTTGCTATTGAATACATAATTTTCAGTCATTGCACACAATGTGGGAGTAGTAATTCAACACAGATTAAATACCAACATCTTTTTTTTTCACCAAAATGCCCAGCTTAATATATTGTTGAAGCTTTCAGCCATGAACACTGGCCCCTTGGAAATTACATCCCATTTAAGTGTTTCAGGTAGCTTACCACAGAAATCTCTGGGGGTTAGGGCCAGCTTTGCTCTGTGAATCAGAGGGGTAAATGATCCCCTGTTGTTTCTACTGCAGTAGTGGCGTGCCCAGGAGACTGAAGGAGAGGGTATTTTCTTGTGAATCATGGAAACTGTGCGTAAGGTGAGAAAGGTCCATGCAAACCCCAAAAATATAGTGTCCATGCAGAACGTTAGACAAACAGCTGCCTGAGTAGAGTGATTGCAGTCATTATGCCATTATCTCAGGTGGGCTGAACACATTCACCAGTGCTCTGAACGTACCTCTCTCCACAGTCAATATGCCACCATCAGCACAGGAAGAAGACAAGAAAATTGACTCTAGCTACTTTAATTGTCATCAACCATAACACTGTTAGGATAAGCAGGCAAACAAATATCCACTTTCCACAGCCTTACACTTTTTCTTGATATTCTGACCGAGAAAGTAGGGGCTACAAAGGCAAAGGAATAATGAAAGACACAAAAGGACATGTGCTAGCTTTAACTCTTCCCTTTTTCTGAGATATTTATAGCTTATATGTACTTTACTACTAAAAGGTACTCCTTTCATTAATTCATATCATGCTATGTCAAGAGATGCATTCGTTTTCCTGAATTTTCATCCATTTCATAACAAACATTGTAAAACTAACTCAGTCCAGTGTTTTTAGATATGTAGTCCTAAGAATATCTCCTTTTTCCACATGCAGTATCAGCACTCTCTCTCCACACAGTGGGGTACAGTCAGTGCCTGAGGAAGGAACAACTGGATGAGGGGTGGAGAAAAAGAGGATGAGCCAGCAAGAGACTACTCACATGCCTAGTTCCGTACAAAGCAGCAGCAAAGAATGAAAAATCTCATGCTTCCTCCCCCCTCCTCATATGCCATTACCACAGGCCAATTCTCAGCTGTGTTCAGCAGAGCTTCTTGCCTGCTGGGCACCATTCAGATGGGAAACCTCAGCCTTACACTGTCAGACATTTATCTCAGAGTAGTGCCATTCAGCTTTCCAGGTTTGACACAAGGCAAGTATGTATGGCCTTACACAATGCATTATTCAGAGAACTTCTCCAGAGAAGGGAAAATTCCTTGCAGAAATTTTGCACAATTAAACAACAGCAGTTTTTTTTTTAATTATTTTTCAGGTTTCTGGTGTGGCGCATCAATCCCAAGGCCTTGCTTTGTTAATGCTGCATCAGGTTCATTGCGGGGTTTCCTTCTGCTGAAGCACCACACAAATCAGTCACATCTCATCACTCCTGACAAGCTACACTTCCCCCACTATTTATGTCATTTGTCTAACTCCCAAAACAAGAGCTGTGCAGAGACATGAAAGATGCGTGAAAGGCAGGACAAGCTAGGAGGGAACTAGTAGGAGACTGATTTCATGCATTAAATAGTTTTTTCGTCTCCATTTCTAGCTGCAGAGCATTCCCCCTACTTTCCACAAGCAGCGGAACAGGTGCTTGCCTCAGCTGCACACTATAACTCTTTGGGTGACCACCACCTTCATTATGCACTCTTCTGAACTTAAGATTCTCCTGCTGCAGCTCCCTTACCTTCTTCCTATCACCCCTCCCCATCTTAGGAGCTACAGGGCTTTATCAAACAGCACAGTGATAATCCACCACAGCAAACGAGTTTACATATTTGATTCCTCCTGTTAGCACTATGAGGACCATGGCTCCATATTTTAGTCTGTAACGCAGGAGTCTTTACTAAAAAGGTTCATTCTGAACTTGTGTCCTGGATGATTGCCGGCTACATTTCAGCTTGCTTATACTGCTGCAGTACAGCTTAGTTGAATCTCATGAAAAGGAATTAAACAACAACCACAACCACAAAATTCCTACTGAATGAAGTGCTGATTGTTCCTGCAGGTGCAGAGCTTTCCCACCTTCCCTGAAACAATCAAGCCAAAGGTGCCATTCTGTTCTCTGGCTCTCCATTACTGAAGTTCAGCTGCAGAATAGATTGGTAAAAAGTTGAGTGCTCACCTGGCCAGTCATACTGAGGGTTTGTACGAGGCTTTTTTCCCCCTTCTCCTTTTCTCTTGCTGATCCGTAGTCTCTCCTTGCATCTCATTTTCTCCTCTCTTGTATTTCTTGGGATTAGGTCACTAGAATTCACTTCTAAGGAAGGGAAGTTTGTAATGAAACAGAGAACAAAGCAGAACAAAACCAAACCAATACCATAATTTTCAGTACTTCAAAACACCTTCCTGAACACGAATGTTCTTTGATTACCCTCATAGCACTGCAGTGTGTATCAGCACTTGGTCCATTATTCCCTTTTCCTCAGCTTCCTCTGCAACAAAAGGCTGATAAACAGTAACTTCTGGGTTTGTGACACAAAATGTTTCTCTTCCTCAGACAAGCCTGCACTCAGGAGCCCTTTGTTAGTGGGCATCACCAGACATTAGCACAGCAAGAATCATTGTTTTTGTCCAGTGAACTTTTTATGCTGAATGCGTTTGGCAAAAGCACTGCAAAACTGGTCCTGGTAGCTTTTTAAGCAACAAACCAGCCACTGCACTGCTTACTAAATCTCTCTTCCCTGTAGTTAAAAAGTCAATAATACAGGTACAATATCTCTCTTCCCTGTAGTTAAAAAGTCAATAAAACAGGTTTTTTTTCTTCTAATCAAGGATTTTGGATGGTACTAGACAAATCACTTTCTCTGCACATATATCAACAGGGCAGCACCATAATTCTAAGGAAGGAAACACACTGTGTCCCTCACTCTCCAACACACACAAAGGTATTGCTGCAGCTAATGTCCCCAAAGGTTCTTAAGTGTGGAACACCACGGAGCAGCGAGTACCAGCACAGGAAAGTGAACAAGTTTATCCGTGTTTCCAAACCAATCTATTTGCACTTAAACTGACCTTCCATTTTAGAAGGGTCCAAAATGGCTTTTAGAAATCTATATCCACCTTCTCTTCTAGCCAGAATATCATATGAAAATCTTAGCCCAGGAGAAAAATACCTCTGCTTGATTCAAGTCATATTATTATTTTTGGAATGAAAATTGGGCGAACTTTCTATTTTTACTTTACGTAGTACAATGTCAATAATTTACACCAACTTGGATAAACACTAGAGGATTAAAGCATATAATGCTAAAAAACCAAATGCATTACAGTTTGAAATCGCACATTAAGAACTTAGCTGGACTTCACTTTGGAGCACAAAAAAGGGATTCCACAAATTTTCAGAATATATTCCACAAGACTGCAACAGGTTAAGCTATAACCAACTCACTGCTTTTGCCAGAAAAAAATTCAATAACTACATCTAGTTTCCTGACACCAAACCAGTATTATCACACATCTCCATACTAACAGAAATTTATGTACAAGAACATAGTTTCCCAGTTAGTTAATTTCAAAATACCTCAGAAAAAAACACCAATCCTTGGTTTTCACAGTGCAATGAAACTGCAATACTGGAGTGCAGACTTTGGAGGGGAGAATGAAGTGAAAAAGTGTAGCTTTTAAATATGAAAATTAAAAAACATTTTGCGTTTACATAGAACTGAACGCACTGCTTCAGAGAAATAACTAGAAAGACTTTTTAAGTTAATCTCTTCCTCTGGATTTGTGTGCAGCATTGTCTACAGACAACCGTACCCTTTCCTTTCCTTTGTTAATTGCTGCATACTTGCATGTACCAGGGAAAAAAGGGCATATATTTATCAAATACTACAGTATTTGCAATGTATATTATGGTGCACTAACTACTAGTAGGTCACTTATATAAGTATTATGTACTAGACGCAGGTCTATTTGGGTATTTAAGAACCTTACATATATTTTTCTTCAGTTATTCATGGCTTTTTCTGTGTCACACCTATTTACTTCTTCCCTTGTACCACCTTCTGCCTTTTTGCATCATTTAACCACGTTGGTTTTCTTTATTTTTGAGTATTGCTTCCCTATAGGTTTCGGTACACCAGGCACAGCAGGCCGCCCCCCGCTGAGGCAGGGTCCCCGCCGGGCAGGGCCTCAGCGGCAGCCCCATCCCGCCGCTGCACGAGCGCGGCCCAGGCCGCCCCGGGCCTTTCACCTCAGCATCGCGGCCTGTCCGGGGCCAGCGGTCGCCATCCCTCCCCTCCTCCGCGGCCGAGATCAGACTTCTCTGCCTCTCGGGGAAAAGACGAGTTCCCGGCGGCAGTGACGAGCCGTGCCAGCGCCGAACCCCTCAGAGAGGTAACAGCCCCGCTCCACTCTGAGCGCCAGCCATGAAGGCAAATGGCGGCCGCCATTTCGAAGCCCCTCTCGGCTGAGGCGCGACCTCCACCACACACAGCAGCGGCTCGACCCCGCAGGGCCGGAGATCTCGACGGGAACGGATGCTGGGCGGGACGGGACGGTGTGGACGAGGCACAGCAGAGGAGCGGGGGCGGTGCGGAGCCCTCTCAGGCGGCGCTGCCTCGTCCCTGTGGCGCGGCCCGGCTGCTCCAGCTCCCGGCGGGAAAGCCCGCGGTCTCTTGGAAAAGGTCGGTTAAACGCCGTAAAAGAAGAGTAATGTTTAGTGAACTTTTAAATGAATAAAATTAATGAGTATATATGCATAGTTAGTATTAAATAGCTTTCGCTGAGACTTACTAAACGCCTCGCTTGTCTCTGCAAATTCAGTTCATTGTCCAGAGCAATGAATTGTGAGCGCAGCTCCACCTGTGCTCTGAGAAGTGGGCCCTGGGGAAAGAAATTATTTTACAAAGCACATCTATCCCGTTGGGAGTGGGTGTGGAGGAGTCTCACTATCTTTGGCCTTCTCCTTTTGTATGTGTTAGTCTTACATTTGAGCTCAGGCATAACTCTTTTTCAGGTTGTTTCTGGTTCCCCGATGAGAAATTCAGGTAGGTATTTCTCCGATACACTGTTCTTTGTTTACAGAAAATCTCAGAGAAACAAGTGTGAGGCTGTTCAAGTGAGCAAGGGCTTTTTCAAGTGAGCACTGTCACACAGGAATCCTTCCCACTCGGCTTCCTGCAGCAATCTCTCTATAAGCCTTTTGCCAGCTCACCGTGACTACCCTTGGCTTCTTCCACAGAGTTTCCACTTGTATCTGTCTCATGCAATGAGACATGCTGATCTGTAAGATAAGCAGACCTCTATTTTGGTAGGCAGAAACATGCCGCTGTTGGGCTCTGATCAGCCTTGCCCCGGGGGCTGTGTTTTAGATGACAATTCATATAATTCTAATTTAAACTCTTACAAATAAAGAGCAACTGCTGTATTCATCAGCTTCAGTGAGGTCTGACTCACTCCACAGCACCCAGTACCACTGCAAATATGAAAGCACTAGATCAGTTCTTATCTATATTTAAGTAACAAGTAGTCTGTAAGTAAACTTCATAACAAAAAAAAATTGAGAAGAGCATTATATTCATATATCTTTTCATAAGTATTTAAGATGCAAACTTTGAGGAGCAGTGGCATTTCTCCACAAAACTCTTCCAGCATCACATTTATCCATGGCTGTACCAGTTTTCTTTTAACAAGGCAGTAGTTTGTAACAGTGAATTCTCATCATCCTGACCAGAGTACAGGAATTTGAGCTTTCTCTTGATCAGTGGACTCAGTGTTTTTAATCCTATAGATACACATTTTTTTCAAGCATCCCCATTCTAGTAATTATTTAAATTCAAGGTAATTCTTTATCAAAACTGGAAGTAACTCTTAGAGGCACACCCCTTCATTTCTTTGAGGTATTGCACTGGTGTGAAATGAATAAACACACATGTGGTCAAGCTGACTCGGTTGGACAGTCAATGAGCTTGTCCAAGGGGGTTCCAAATGTTTACAGAAGTTATAACATACTTTAAAATATCCCTGTCAGTTGCAGTTCTAAAATGTCATTGTTCTTTAGATTCAAGCAAAATAACATCTACATGCACTATTCTGCACAATTTCCTTCAGTATTTTCAATAATTCTTTGATAAGCAAAATGTAGAAGCTGAATTTTTCCCAGATTCATATGTTGGTTTTTGAACCACAGAAATTTCCTCAGTTATCATTAAATAATTTCAGCTCATACAATCTGTACCATTGTGAGGTCTGTTACAAAAGCCCATTTATATCTTAACTTTCTTTATTTAAATTTATTGAGTTTATATTTCCCTGTACCTGCTTGCTTTGTTCTAATGCTGGTGTGTTTTTTCACTTGTTTTTCACTAGATCCTTACAGTACAGCTAGAACGGCTTTTCCAAACACTGCCAGCCTGTTCAACGTACCTGTTCCCAGTCAGGGTACAGTCACGGCGGGTGACTGCGTTGCACTGAAGCTACATGAGTGGTATGCGTGGCTTAAGGACCTCCTATCCCACGGTGGTTTTCCAAACAGACAGTTGTCTTGCAGTGGCTTTGTAAGTATAACTGGAATTCACAACTTGCCAATACAGTCATTCATGAATCAGAGAAATACCATAATACAGAAAAGGCAGGTAAGGATTTAAAACTACAAAAATAAGAAACAACTAAGAAACTGCCTTATCTTAATTTGAACTCGACTATTTAGGCTGGAATCAGTTTTAGATCACATAACCCTTCCTTTTTTGTAATGTTATACAGGTTAAAGTAATAGGTTTATTTTTAGTCATATTCTTTACTGGCATCTGCACTTCAAAGGTTTGCCTTTGTTAGCAGTCAGACTCTTTACGTTACTGTTTTCAGTAACAGGAAGAGTTGTCAATCCTAAACTACAATTTACAGCCAAACCAAAACAAGCCAAATTTAAGTGCAGCCATTATTTTTTGTTGTTGCTTGCAAATCTCAGGTAGAAAAGAAGAACTCATAATTGTAATATTTCTGATTACGTGTGCAGTGATGATTGTATAATGGGTCAATGACTCCACTAATGCAAGCTTCGTGGGAGATCAAGCCATTCCTAGCCTTTCTTTAAACTATATTTGAAAATTACATAATTTGTCGTTTGTATGAAAATGGCTATACACCAAAAGGTGAAAAGCTGTTATTAAATGAAATGTTATAAAATGCTACAGCCTCAAGAATTGAATGAGAATGGAATATTTCTTAGGCACTAAATAGTCTACAGTATTTAACTGACGAGCTTTTCCAGTGTGTTCTATGGAAGCATTCAGTTGCTGAACATTAAGTAGGTTCTTTTTTTTGGGTGAGTCTTTTAACGTTTAAACTTAAATACAGTACTGACTTACTTACAGTGAAACATGTAACCAACAAATTACAAATTGAAGTATTTCAATTGTAAAACATATCATTATAGTGGAACTTACTCTTTCCATAATTAAAAAGTTGAGATGCACTGTTTTATCCAATTTATAATCTTAAAATCTCCTTATTTAAATGGTTATGCACAAACATTATTTACTACATTATTTCCCTTTGAAAGTCAGGAGGACTTCATCCTTTTTAAATACCTCTTCATCTCTGTGTGCATTTTTCTTTGCCCGGAGATGGACTTGTGATTACAAACAGAATGCATGATTGCATTAACCTACACACATCATAAACACTGGAGAATCAGAAGTTAATGTAATAATACTAAACAGGTTTGCTGGAAGGGAAAAAACAGTTGCTGAAGACTTTAAGGACAGTGCCAAAATGCATATTACTTTTGTGAAAATCTTGAGGCAGTTTTAAATTCTGGCTGTGCAAATATGGATACAGCGCTCTGAACTGTAAGCATCCGAGTTCATATTGTCTTGTCCTACCAGGTGACATGGGTGCTGCTTGTGCTTTCCCTTCTTAGCTTTTAAATAAATGCAAATTTGAACACCTTGTTCAAAAGGATTGCTGCCATCTTGGAGAAAACAAACATAAAAAACTCTGTGGTTCAACCAGTTCTTTACACGTCCCTTTCTTACCTCTGGAGTTCATCAGCCTTCTGCTTCGTTAATAGGGAGAACTTGCATTAAGACTTTCCTCCATCAGTGCTTGCCTCCTTTTCCAAATCGTGTTGTATTTTATTCAAATGGAAACTTCCCCCATTCTGCCTGCTACTTTCCCCCTCTGCATCTCTGCCTAAGAGTCGGGTTGCTGTATTTCTGAGAGCAAAAGAATAATGTAAAGGGAAGGGTAAGGTGTGCAGCGCCCGTGGTGTGCTGACAGCTCCCCAGGAGAGTCCCAGAGCCCATCCCCAGAGCAAGAAAAATGTTTCAGTTCAGAGTTCTTGTCTCTACATCATAATTTCATCCCATCCTAGAGTGTCCCTCATTCCATTTGCTGCCAAAGAGGAAAAGCAGGAAGTTTGCAGGTATACAGACACAGTAAGCTGTGTCCAAGGGGTCTGCTAGCCAAGGTCTTATTGCACTTGGGCTTTCATTTAGATGGCCATCTGAAACAACAGCTCCTAGCTTTAATACATCTGTGCATGTTTGCATGCAAAGATGGTTGCTTTAGCTGCGACATCTACTTTTGTTCTCATTTGCACTGGTAAAAGAAAAACCCTGAATACAAAACTACTGCATTACCTGAACACAGAGGACAGCAAGGGCAAAGCAACTAAGGAGTTTCACAACATGGATTCAAAGCAAAAAAAAGAAACCAAAGGGGACTGAAAAGGAGAGAGAATTAAAAAATTCTTCAGCAACGAAGGAAATGAAATACCAGCAATGTTAATATAAGAGCAGATTGCACTGCCTCTGAAATCAGTGGAAGTAGTGAGAAGAATATTGGAGCTTTACAGATATATTCCAAGATGATTTAAACCAGAAGCCAGCAGCTGCAGAATACCCAGATAAGGGCTACAGAAGTGCAGCAAAACTCTGTAGGTAGCAGCACAGCATTAAAGAGTAATTACACGTGCATTGGGAAAGAGCAGGAGAAGCAGTTCAACAATAGGACAATTCCAGCCAAGACCGAAGTGCAAGGTACATACCCATAGTCCAGCCCTTACAAATCATAAGCACAAACTGCAGACCTCAGGCAGACACTTAAGAACAGAAGGGGGGAGATAGAATGCCTGATGTAGAGGTAGCACTGAAATGTAAATGGCATCGCTGAACTATGGTGAGTTAGAATTATATTGGATTCATTCCCAGCTCCAAACTCCAGAGGAAAGGTGACTCAGAGGACTTAAAAGCCAACAACAAACAATACACATAGATGACACTACATGCTGCAAATTCTAGATACCAATTGCCAAGAGAAGGATCCCCACAGATTCTCACAAGTGATGCGTACCCCAGTTAGCAACACCTAGTGCGTAGTTCTACAACATGAGTCAGGTTACCCAAACACCATAAAATTATCCTTAATTTTGTCTGCAGAGCTGGAGCGTGATGCTCCCAAGAGTAATCCTTAGTCTTTTTTGTACAGCTTTCTTCACAACGGCAGCAGTAATGTGACTGGGAGTGCCGTCACAACCTCTCAGGGCTACATTAAGAATTATTGTTGGGCAGACTGGCGTAATTATTATGTTTAAATGTCTGAATTTACCCCTAGTGGATGAACATCTGAACTGGAGTGACCTATGTCACTCAAATGCTAGGCCTGAGTAGGTATGCAGGACATTATTAATGAGTTTGGAAGGCGAACTTAGGAAAATGGTTATTTGGATTTCTCAAAAGATCTTTCTCCTTTCCTGTTCCCACATACAGCTTTATTTTTTTTTAATTCCATAGTACAGAAAATTAAAAGCTGCAGAAGGAAAAAGTAAAATGAGATGATATTCTGTGTTAAGAGTGTCCTATGCAAATTCCCAATAATTGTTCTGTATACAATTCTAACAAATAGCAATGCTGGGTAGCAGAAATCTACAGTTCTTCATTTGCTGCTTTTCTTACAGCTAATGAGTTCCCTTAGTGTTCAAAATCCATCTTTGCTGCCACACACTTACAAAGGTAAATCACTTGAATGGGCTGAGCTTTCTTCTATTTATTGTTGCCAGGGGAACCACCTTGTTGGTATTCACCAACAGAACATGTCTTTTGACATGTGTTTCTGAGGACCAGATGACGCAGCTGTGCAGTATTCAGTGAAAAAATGTATCGCAGCAACCTTGGAAATGCACTTGCACAGAAGAGCAGCGTTACTGTAATACCTTAGCTTGAGATTGTTTTGGATTTTTTACTTATTTCTTTAGACGGGTAAAAATTGGTAAAAATTGTAAAATTATATGTAAAATATATGTAAAATAATAACCCTAATTCTGCCCACAATTTAAACACAAAGAATCCTACTCTGGTCAAATAAGTGTCACTAAAATAGCACCCTTTTTTTTTTTTTAATACTCTTGTATAAGGAAAATTTTCCCTATGAAATCTTGTTATTATCAGTTATGTGACTAGAAAAAAAAATTAAAATCCAATCCAAGCTGGGATAAAGTATGAGCCATTTCTGAATAGCCAGGCATCTGAAGGTTATTTGAATGGCATCAGTCACCTGCTGGAAAGTATCAATTGTACGAATAAAGCACCGGACTCATGAAGGGCAATAAGCATCTTTGACTCCCAGAATATATTTGTTTCTTGAGATAGCACTTCTGGCAGGAAAAAAAAAATAGAGATATAGGAAAAAAAAAAAAAAAAGAGATATTATGTCCAGAATCACGGCTGACTATGGGAAACAAACTAATTTTAATTTCCTGGCGATATTGATTACTGCCAAAATACCTGTGTGGGAAGGAGTGATGGTTGAGGTTGGAGGCAGCAAAGCATGAAGACAAGCAGAAAGCATGAAAGTGAAGCATCTCACTTAAGTCCTGTGGGCACATTTATGTTTCTTTGATCGTGGCAGATCCTCCTTCTTGGATTGCTGTAACACCAGCTGATCTGCCATTCTGGAGCAGCGCTTACTTGATTTACTTACTGAACCAAACAGGAGGGGTTCCCCACCTCAGAGGAGCTTACAAGCCAAGTGTGAGATGGAACCAACAGCTCAAGTAAACAGCTAGAGAACCTACATCAAACAACACTTAACAGTCCCTTCAGCTGCCATGAAAATCTTAGTCTATCAAAACCTGCCAGTCTATGTGATGCTTAACTTCGCACCTTGTTACAGAGCTCTCCCAGATTAAAACCAGCTCTGTTACTGGGCTCTCAAGAGTGACAGGAAGTTGTCCTGGAATACAGGCAGTATCTTTTAGGGCCTGCAGAAGATACCTTGAAAAAAAACAAACTGAGTTTTAAGTTTTCAAAGCCGATGTGTAATAAATCTAAAATGACCAGCACTACAGAGCAAGAAACAGCCACAACAACCACAAACTAGTTTTTCAGCTGTAACCCCCCAGTCATTCCTGCATAAAGCGCTCTGAGAGAACCTAATCTTATTTGCAAAGTATCATTATACAGTTGTGGGGAGCTTTTCAGCTGTTTTAGGGTTCTTTTGTTGTGGACTACTACACTGACAAGGTAGTTGCAGATACAGTATGGAGACAACAAAGGCA